TTCCAATCCCCGAAGATCTCGAAGATGTCTCGACCGAGCGTCTTCGAGAACTCGAACTATCGAATTCTCTGGGCGACGACGACGATGATGAAGTCGAAGAAGCCGAAGAACGCGACGAATAGAGGTTCTTCCTTCTTTTTACTTGTATAACACGATACGTATTTTCTTCTCTCCATGCCTGCTCTCACGTTATGCAATATGTTTGATCCACTCCTACGTTCTAGACCATCCCTTGTACGACTACCCTCGATTCAACTCGATAGTTGCGACATCGTTCGACGTTCTACGAACGCTTCGCTTCGACCGTTGCGCGGAGGCTCACCTTAGACGAGTCCTCCTAGGCTGTGATGACAAACTGAGCCTATATTCTCATTACGTCCATTTTCCCTCACTACGAACATTTCGATTTCACCTTCTATGCCCTTCAATCATATTACAACTTGCTTCGAACACACTTATTTTCATTTCTTTTTCTTAGTTCCCGCTAGGTTTTGTCTAGGCCAAGGGCCACCTTTTCGATTCGACCATCTACGCAATACTCTACGACATAAGGACAACTACGATACAAGACGACCCGCACCATCGCCTACTCATCGTTGACAGCCCCGCGCACGAAACGGATCCCTCCCTTCGCGAGCGCGGCCTTCTCCATCTTCTGGAGGTCGAGGTCCATGTCGTGGAGGAGCGCTCGACGGCGCGTGATGTGAGCACGCTCCTTGCGGATGACGCGGATGATTCCACGAGACTCGTCGTCGAGGTCAAGCACATCGAGGTCGTCCTGCTCGAGCCCAAGGCAGCTGGCCCCATCGAGAGGCAGTCGTAGAAGGGGGCGGGGAGGCTCGTCAACGCAACGCTTCTTCGAGCCACTCGAATCCGCGACCAAAGGCCCAGGGGAAGTCGACCGAACTACTAAGTCGTCAGCGAAAGCCCAGGACAAGAAGAAACAACTTACTGCGCTTCTTTGTGGTAGACCCCCCGCCGCGCGTTTTCTTGGTTTTCCCAAGCACCGACACTTTGTCGAAGTAGCACCCCTGCTGGAACTGCGCGCACCTCTCGCAGGTGGTGGCGTTTTTGACCCACACGCACTCGACAGGGGCTGAGCGGTAGCCGGCGCAACGATCGCACTATCAAGGCGTTAGCATCGAACCACTTCGACGGAGGCTCGAGCTTACCTTCTGTCCCGACAGGCACTTCTCAAGCGCAACGGCGGCCATGTCGACCTCCGTCATTGCAAAAGGACGCTCGAGCGTCCGAGGAGTCTTCTACAAAAGAGAGGTTAGTCATCGAACGACGATAGAAGAAAAACACTTACGACCGAGGGGTCGTCCGACAACTCGGTGACCTCGTCATCGACTCTCGCGCGCCCTTTACCCTTGTCGACACCGGCAGGCGCAGGGTCGGGAAGGAGTCCTTCGGCGGCCGCGATCCTCGCCAACTCTTTGTCGGCGGCCTCTTGTGCGCGACGCTCGTCTTCGGCCTGCTTCCGACGGTCCTCTTCGTCCTTTCGACGCCGTTCATCTTCGAGGTGACGTTCCTCGGCGGCCTTCGCACGCTTCGCGGCCTCTTCGACGCGTCGTGCTTCCTCCTTGGCGAGGCGCTTCTGTTCTTCGAGGCGTCGTTCGACCTCGGCGTCGATGGCGGTCGCAAGCTCGGGCCAGTCCCCGCGCGCCCACTCGACCCACGACTCTGACGCCCGCTCGGCGAGTTGCTTGACGGCGGCGGCGACGCGCAGCTCCGTCTCCTTGTCGCGGATGGCGCCCAAGGCCTTGCGATAGGCAAGCTGTTCGAAAACAAACGGTTAGTTGGGTTATGCAGATTACGCAGCGACTTACGACGAGTGGCGACAAATCCTGCGCCCACTCTTCGACCATGTCGAGCACGGCGTCAGCGGTCGGCGGAGCCTCGAGGACCATGAGCAGCGAGGCGAGGCGGCGGTTGACGAGCGAAGGCGTCGAGGCAGGGGTGGCGGAGCGAGCAGACATCGTGGAAGTAGCGAGTATACGAGAGAGGGCGACAAGGTAGCAACGAAGGAATGATGGGATGGGGAAAATGAGGCTAAGTCTACCCTGCTTATAACCCCCTTCCGACCAGCATTTAGCGTCGGCCACGTGGCGTTCGAAGTCTACCCGGGTTGCCATTCCGCTTCGATCCGTTCACGACCATCGCGCTTCTCGCATCACGTGGAGGACTGAGGGCGGTCCAAATTTCCATAGGGAGGAGATGATAGGCGCCAAGCCCCTCTGGGCCCCGATTCACCTCTTTTCGGCAGTCGCATCCCGCCCGGCACTTCAACTCAGTCTCCCAACGCTTCGATTTCGCCTTTGACGCTCTTCGACACCTTCGACGGTGCGCGACGCTTACTCGAAGCTCGGCATGGTCGTCCCGATGCCTCGCGCATAGATCCCGGGACATCTTCCGCATTCGGCGAACAATAGGGCCACTTGACGCCGCTCGACCAAGCACGTGCTTCGCTCCAAGCCACACCAAAGTAGCCGGTCTTTCCTGATTAGGTATCGAACCTCGCGGCATGCCTTCACGACGGCTACCGGTCCGAAGTGGCCATATGTTGCTCTTCATCTCCGCGTTCGGCATGACGTCACTCTACCGATGGACTTGGTATGTGCCTCTCGGTGAGGCAGGTTCTTGAGGAACAATGCAAAGCCCCTTGTACCCATATGCCACTCTCAAATAGTCGTAGCGTCCTGTGTAGTATAAAATCTGTCGTACTTCTCTCCAAAAATACAAGATCTGGTTCCCCCCTCGAGTTCAGAGCTCATAAGTCGAGTTCGCCCTGCGTCTAAGCCTTCAACTGCGTCACTTCGTCCCTCACTGCGTAACTTCGAAACCTCGTCCACTGCATTTACTCGTCGATACAGTCTCGACGAACCCTTCGACTTCGACGATTGTCGAAGAAACTACGAACCGCGTCCTAGCTAAGTCCACCCTATCAAATCGTGTCCCTTCCTTCTACAATACATCGAAGAGCTCTGCCGAGCTTCGATCGTCGCTAACTTTCCACAGCCTCCGAGTAGCTTCGACGACGTGTCGAAGCCCCCTCGTACCTTCCCCGTTTTTCGTAACCTTTGCCAAGGGCGTTTCTCGTGTTCACTCGAACCGCGGGACACCTTGCTGCTAACTCCCCTCTCCCTAGACTATAATCCGTATCTCTAGTCCCTTTAGGTCGCACCCAGGTTAGGGGTTAGGGTTTCGTAGGTCGTATCAGCGGTTCCTCCGGCTCCCGGCCCGGGATATCGCTACGCGTGTACTTGCTCAGCAAGGATACATGGAATACCGGGTGCACCGGCACCAATTTCGGCAGGACTAATTCATAATCCAAGTCTCCGAGCTTTCACCGCACGGCATATGGTCCGAGGCGCTTGGGACTGAGCTTCTTGCTCGGCTGTTTCAGCTTAAGGTTCCGAGCGTCAAGCCAGACCTTGTCCCCCGGTGCGAAGACCGGTGCCTCCTGCATGTGCTTGTCGTAGTACACTTTCATGCGCTCAGCTGACAGCTCAAGCGCAGAGCGCGTATCATCCCTGATCTCCTTTAAGATCTTGAGCCGATCAGCGGCCGCAGGCATTGCAGACATCGGATTGATCCAAACCTGGATCTCAGGATGGTACCCCTGATGCAGGAAGAATGGGGAGTGCCCAGTCGCGGAGTGGACTCGGTTGTTCAGCGCGAATTCTGCGAGCGGCAACTGCTTTGCCCAATCATCCTGCCTGTGGCTTGTGAAGGCGCGCAGGTACTGTTCGATCTCCTGATTCCAGTGCTCAGTCTGGCCGTCTGTCTGAGGGTGGAATGCTGTGAACAGCGCCGGCTCGATTCCCAGTCCCTTGTACACCGCATGGAGATACTTCGAAGCAAACTGGGGACCTCGGTCTGATATGACCTTGGCCGGGGCCCCATGATGCTTGAA